GCTCGCGCCTAAGTGTATGCACTTCTCTCTTCTCTGCCCATTTTCTGCAAAGGGATTTTCCTTAATCAGTTGAACTGCCATCGTGCCTTTGTGGCTCAAAGGACAGGCCTGCGGTCGCTCCTTTTTAAGCAACCGCTGTGCGCACAAATTAAGCGATTCCCTGAGCTCCCCACCCGCCGCGATTGATGGCCAACTGTCAATTGCTAAGCTCCTCAGTCAGGGCCTGAATCACAATCAAAGTCGGAGTCAGTCTTTGGCCGGAAAGTTCCGCAGAAATGGTGAATGGAGAAAGGAGAAAGGCGAAAGCCGCGGAAAGAACTGCTAAACCGGAGACAGAGACAGAGACAGCGACAGAGGGAGAGAAAGACCAAAGAAAAAAAAAAGAGGAGAAAGCGAAACTTTTTAATGATGTAAAGTACAAAGTTTTCTGTCTTGTCGCTCGCTGGCACAAGTAACTTGAGTAAACTTTGAGTTATGCCCTCCCAGCCTTAGATCCGAGGAATCGGCGGCAAATACGAGCAGAACGACCAGGACGACCAGGACGACCTCAAAGCGCAGTCGACGACATCCTTTCTGCACCCAAAGGCATCGTGGACATCGATCGATGCGGCTGCTGGTATTTTGTCGTTTGTTAAAAGTTTCCAACACTCATTTTTATTATGACATACGCGAGGAGTGCGAGCCAAATTAGTGGCCAAACGGGGGGAGCGGAGGGTTCGATGGCAATGACAATGGGTGCGCTAATAAAATGCCAATTTGCTGCCATTGAATGGCTGCTTTATGGGCCGCCATTACAACTCGTACGCACAAAAGGCTGGGAGTATCGCCTTTACTCCTCCAAACACACACGCACACACACGCACACACACATGCGTGCGAAAGGACCTCTTGGAGGAAGCATTTTATGACGGCCACATTTACACGCATAAAATATGCATGATAAAACTTTGTTGTTGCAATAAATCAGCAGTGGGCACCCCCAAACCCAAAACCAAAAACAGAAAGTGTGCAACTCCTGGCCTGATGTGATTACCAAACCATTCCAAGGGTATCCCTTATTTATGTCCTGCGTGATGCGAGCTCATCGGGATGCGGTCGTAATGAGTTCGCCAGGCAAATCAATTTCCCTGCACCACTGTCAAACTACTTAAACTGCCATTAAACTATCGAGGAGAGTGAAGGATGCGAATCATAAAAAAAATAAAAAACTTTCCCCAATCAGAAACATTATGGAGAAAAAGGCGAAAAGATGCCCTGCTTTGTTAGAGGTGCAAATGCTGGCTCACAAACAGACAGAGCAAGTCTCCTCAAAAGCTTCCAACTTTTTGGGCCATTGTGTTTTGACTGCCTTTGTTGCATGCATAAAATATTTATGCGCTGGAAAATATGCAGCAACAAAAAATGGGTGGCAAATACAGGGCTGCCCCTGCCGGAACTTTTTTGCCATGTGCGTGCAACTTTTCACACTCAAATGAAATTACGAGAAAAAAGAAAAAAAGGAAAAGGAAAACTTTGCTACTTAAATGTAGCGCTCTCTCGCCGGTGCTCCCATTCTCTTTTTTATTGCTTTCTGCACTTTATCAACCATTTTGCCATGGCTCAGTGAACGCTCAATTGCCGGTTTTCGGCGAGAGCGACAGAGATAGCAGATAGCAGGCGGTGCGGTGCGGAAGGGGGGTGGGGGAGGGAGAGGAGGTCGTAAACTTTTCATTAATAACGATTTTCCATTAACTATCGATTGATTTCGAGTCCCCAGCAGCAGCATCCCGCCAACGACAACAATGGGGCCGTAGTAGCAAACGCACTTCAGACAATGCCTGCAACCGGCAGCTACAACAACCTCAACAACAATAACAACAGCAACAACAACAACACCGCCATCACCCAACAACACTTGAGTCTATTTAAAACGCAAACAACAATAAGCCGAAAGGGGGGGAAAGGGTGGGGGGTGGTCTACAGGCTCATAACCGAGGACGACGCCGCCGCCGCCGACAGGAAAAACTCATTGAAAAGTTTTTCTTTTTTACACTTGGCGCGCTCTCCCGTTTCGCCAGGACCTCCATTCCCATTTTTTCCCTCGATTCACACACCTAAGCGGTGTATCGAAGGAGGAAGTTTTTAATTTTTTATCGCGCTATAGCCAACGCGGTCTGATATGCAACCAACCAGGTTACGCTTGTTTAGGACGGGGCTATTCGAGATTTCGTCAGGATACTTTGCAAGTAGTTCAAAGGATAGGCAGGCTTAAGCATCTCCTAAAAAGGATTCTCTTTCATCATAACTCAATTTGTATAATTAAAATTTGAATTTTATTTTGAAATTTTACAGCATGAATAATATAAATTTTATGTAAAATGGTGCTCAGTTCAATGATTATGTTCCTACTTTTGAACCAGGGGAATTCAAAATACTAACCTTTGAAACTTTAAATAAATTGTAGGTATACGTTTAAGCATAGATCATACAAATTAGACAAAATATCATTGCTTATTAATGTACTTGAAAATAGTTATTGCTATTCGCTTAAATACTTTAAATATATTTAGAAACTAACGATGCTCTTATAATAGTCGTTTAAATTTGGTTAAATACTTAAAATTGGCTTTCAGAGAAGCGGAAGCGGAATACTTAGTCTTGAATTAAGTTCGCAAATATCTCTGTTTGTTGATTGAACATCCTTAAAGTTTTTCAAGATGCTAGACAATAAAGTTTTAAGACCATTCAACTTGTCCCAGTTCGACGTTTATTTATATCCATCATCTGTTATCGCTGATGATATAAAGAACTTGATGTTCAAAAAGTGGATTCCATTTGGGAATCCTCAAGAGTATGATCGGTTCGAGTTTGCCAGGTGGATGTCCTTCTTCACTTCTTCACATTTCCATCAACTTTTTCTGCAGTTCCTCATCCTTCGTCGTTGTCGCTACACGCGTTACGTTCACGCCGGTTGTGGTTGCTTTCGTCCTTCGTCCTTTGTTTGCTCCTGCGACTATTATGGGTAATGCCTTTTGTGTAGGTCGTCGGCATTGCGTTTTCTGATGTTATTTTTTTTCAACATTTATTTTTTTTTTTTTCGTTTTTGTTTTGCTTTTAGCATTTTTATATAGCCAAGGCCCGCTCGCGCGCTACCAATATATATAAATTATTGCATAAAGTTTGGCGCTAAGTTGCAAAAAGTTTCCTTTCATTGCTGCCGCTGCGGCGGCGGCAGCGTGAACGACACACAATAGTCTATAAATCTTTATGGTCAACAGAGATTACATGGGCCCAGACGCGGCGAAGAAAGCCTTCGTGTAGTTTACTGCCCCCTGGGCTCTGTTGGCCACCCTTCTTCTTCCGCCCCCCCATAACCTCTAACCTTTGAGCCCAGCAGCAGCTTTTTAGGCGCTGTGTGCGTTGTTTTGATTTGTGTGCTCCTATTCCAGCTGTAGCTGTAGCTGTGGCAGTAGTGAGCCGCCAGTTGCCAGTTGTTGTGGTTTTGGCCGATTGTTACGGCAATCGAGGGCAGGACTGGCCGTGAGTTGAGCATATGGCCATAAAAATGCGGTGCAGACGTGCTAGATGCTAGATAAATCATGCCAAAGCCCCCCCTCCGAAAAGTATGCAATGCTGGCGGCGAATGAATAGGAAAATAGCAAATAAAAAATAGGAAATAGGAAATTCTTGTAGAAATCAGCCACGGAATGAAATCCCCGAAAAGGTTTCGTTCCTGCAGGAGCACACCTTTAATTGCTTAAATTGTTCTCGTGCTTTGGCTTCGTGGAAAGCAATTCGATTGCTCGTGGCTCCATAAACAACTTTTCAAAAGTATAAAATAAAATAAAAAGGGAAGGAAACGTGTATAGGTTTACCGTTAGGATCATTTTACATAAAAATGCAATAAATAGCTACAACGAAATTTATGGTGGTCGTGGAGGAAAGGATGAAAAGGAAGAAAGCAAGAAAGCAAGAAAGGACGATAGGAAGGAGCCAGCGCGCTGGACTCACTCGTAAATGTCAAATGTCGTGAGGGCGCCTCAAAGTATGCTTATAAATTGCTCTAAATAGCAATTTTGGCTGCTCCACCTCGCTTCTGCCGCCCGGTGTCGTGTCATTTGTTCGTTTTCTTTATTAGTGTCATGTATTTTTATAGTTCAAAGGACATTTGAATGATTGAATGAACTGTTTGTCCACCACCCATACCCATACCAATACCCATACCCACTCCCCCTTTTTTCGTAGCTTGCTTGACCGAAAACGACGAGTTGCGCGCATGATTTCATCCCTTGCAGCCAAAGGACTCACTCTACGTGCGGTCAGCTCCTGCTCTTGCTCCTGCTCCTTGCTCCTGCTCCTGGTCGATGTCCTGGTCAGCGGCAGAGGCGGCGAACGGTCCCAGGCACGTTTCATCATGGCCTGCTTGTTGTTGGTCTGGCGACTATATCAAATAACGACTATTGACTACGCCTGTGTGGCGCTCCGTGATGTCGTGTCCCCCCGGTCGTCCTTTCTCCGCACTCACGTGTAGGGTTACAAGCCACCAAACCATGCCCCACCCATCCTATGCCATCCCGTGACCCTGTGGTGCTGTTGATGATGATGTTGTTGTCGCCAAGCGTCGCCATCGCCATCGCCATTGGCGATGACGAATGAAAATCAATATTTATTAGATTACTTTCGAAATTTTATACGAAAATAGAATTTTTATGACATTTTTTTTTTCCTCTGGTTGCGCCCTGGGCTAACTTTGCCATGTGGCTCGGCCCTGGGAGTGTTAAAGTGTTTGCAACAATCAATTTTTGAGAGAAACTCGAGCGGGGCTTTAAAAGGGTTTCGTGTGTATTTATTTTTGGGACTTCCATTCGCTCTTATCGCCCATCATATCTAATTACAGTTTTCGTTTGCCACCCCAGCGCACTCATAATGACTTAATTATACTTTAGCCAATTTTGTACCGTACTCTCGCTGTATCACTTAATATTAAACATTTCCGTGTTCTCCCTTGTCTGTCTTTGCAGGTAAGTTGCCATCATCCATTAATACCACCAGCCATCAAATTAGTAAGTACACAAAACGACCTGCTAACACTTTTTATGTGCGTCTTTAACTGTATACCCCTCCCTCTCGCTCTATCCCACTATCTGTATGGGTACATCCTTTGGTATTGCCATTCCACCGGCAGGACCGATATATGTACATATATACACGAATATAAAGCAAATGCATTTTAGTGCCCTCAGTTGACCTCGTTTGGGGCTTGTTTTTATGGCCCAGCTCAGGCGAAGCCCAAGCGATGATGCTACTCACGTGGCTCAAAACTAAAAGCTCCCCCGAGTGTGTCTACACCCGGCATCCTCCTGCTTCAGCTAGTTCTGGGCTCGAACCCAGCACTAACCCCCGGGAGTCACTTAATTATAAAGCTGCACATGAAGTAAAACGTCATAAAGCGTCGAGTTGAGTTGGAGGCCATATACGGTTGACTTGGGTAGCATCATCAGTCCCCGTCTGTCTGTCTGCCAGTGCCTCTTACACATTCTTTTTTTTTTGTTTTTTTTTTGGCAGGGGGCTTGGCAGCAGCATTCTGCAGTTAATTTTCCGTTGCTAAATAAACTGTTTATGGCATTTATGCCAAACATTTTTGGACGAAGGGAGGGGAAAATCCCTGGATGAAGGATGACGATGAGCCGTCTGAGTATGCGAGTGTGTGTGTGTGCGTGTGAGCAATTTCTGCATAACCAACCACCAGGACAGGAACCCTGTGTATCCTGTTTGCCCGGAATTGCTTTTTAATTGTGAATTTCGGACAACTTTAAGGCTGTTTCATTTTTTTTCCTTCTCTAAATTAGAGAAATTGTAGCCTGATTGAAATGGAATATGGCAATAATTGGTTTGCTTTTGCACATAGTCCTTTATTTTTCTGCTTGTGTGTGTGTGTGATGGTGTGTGTGTTCACTGACCCCTCAAGAATATTTACATTTTATGCACACAGCGGGCACACCCACACATATAAACACACACACACACACTTTATCCACTGACAATTTGGCAGTCACCGCAATCATAAAAATTTCCACTTCCAAGGAGAACGAATCGAAACGAAACGAAATGAAATGAAATGAGAACCAGGCCCGTCAGTTCGTCGCCCATGCGCCTCATTTAAATGCAAATTTTTGACGAGCGGTTTTAACGTTCTTCTTCATTTCCACTGGCGGTGGGTGAATGTGAATGAAAACATTAAAATTAAAATATAAAAAAAATGTAGTCTGCTTTTAGGCAGAAGAACTCTCGGTTGAGTTTGTGTGTGTGTGTGTGTGTTTTTAGGGGATGCCCATTGCTCGTGAGAATAATTCAAGGTGATGGCTTAATTGAAATATGCTTTTAGGCGCTTTGCCACGCCCCTCGCCCCTCGCGCACCGGCTCTGCCCCTCCCTTTGCCCTTCCCCAGTGCGCCTTCCATTTTGCATACTTCACTTTGTTGTGTGTCTGGGTGCATATTTTATGGAGCTGCGGTGGACCACAGAAACCGACCCAAAACGAAAAAATACGGAAACGGAAGGGAATCTGAAACTGAATGGAAATAAAAACTGAAGTGAAGCTGCTTAATGCTATGCAAAGTGTTTGAGCCTGCGGCATGCGTAAACCAATGGGAAAAACGTCGAAATCGGGCGTTAGGACAGCGGATTCCGGATTTTTCTGGTGGCGGAAGCGAAGCGCCATCACCTTTAATTGCTGGCCATTTCAGTTCTCATTACAACTTCAATTGACTTTTGCCGGATGCAGGAGTTTCTGTAGGGTAGTAGTAGCAAAGGGTATGCCATATGCATATATCCTTCATATGACTTATCGTATCGTAATCCCTCTTGGATCTGCCATAAACATTCATATGCATAAATTTGACATTTGGCTGCTCCATAAAAATACTCCCAGCCGCAGGGCCTTTTGCCAGGCAGCGTCGGAGTCAGTCTCCCCGGAGTGTGGTATGTGCGGGCAAATTTATGCACATAACATCCACTTGACTCCGCCGACAAAAGAGACTTTCAGACGGACGGAAAGCAGCCCCCAAGTGCAACTCACAACTCACAGCTCACAACTCTCAACCGGAGCCAAATGAAAAGCGACAGCCAGCGAAGATGTTCGAGCAACGAGCAAAATCTGGTTTGCAATTTACAAATTGCGCAAAGGCGGTAGAAAAACAAAGGCTAACAAAAGGAATGCTTATATTTTATGCAATATGCCACACCGCGTTTTATTAAGCAAATTACGATGAACGAGATGGGCTGGAGTTTGGGGTTTTGAGTTTGGTGTTGGGTAATCTCGGCAAGTCGTACTTATGACCTTGGCAAACAGCCTAACGCCTCCTGTCCTGAGCCATTTGGCAAACAGACTCAAGTCCACGGCACTCGGCTCGCATTTTGCCGCTCTTAACGCACATTTTCATATATAAATTATTAATTTCGCATGGGCATGGGTATGGGCATGGGACCCAAAAGAATTGCTCACAGGACGCAGGACGAAGGAAACCGCACGCCCAAGCAGTCGAAGGATCAGCGGCAGGAAAGCAAATAAGCAGACAGACGGACGGCGGGCGAGTGAAATGCATTTTGTGCTCCATTAAATAATAAAAGCAAACGTGGCAAAGATAGCGTCTGTCTCTGAGCTCTTTGCTCTACTGTGTTGTGTACACAATAAAAATCTCACACGAAGCGCATAAAAATAAAGCAAGAGATACCCCAAAGAGGGATTTCCCCATACACACACCATACTCTATACTCCATACCCCGCACATACCACATCTTATCTAATGGCAGAGTCAAAGCCCCCATTGTGATTTTTAAGTTGCTAACCTTTATGTGGTGAGGCAGTGTGTGTGTTTTTGGTGGCGCAGAGAAAGTGCATAAATAAGTAAACAAATGCCTGTCGCTTAAGATTACATGGCAAATAAGCTGCCGGAGCAGGACAACATTTGAATGTGGAGGCAAAGGAAAACCTCGCCGCTTACTTACTTATTCATGGCCAGACCTGAGCGGAAAGTGTGTGTCTTGAGGGGGCATAAAAATCAGCATAAACAGCAATTGTTATGGGCTGCGAATGAAGCCCAGATCAGCTCGGCTCAGAGCTCACATCTGTTGTTAGTGAATTGAGGTAATTTCAGGTGGCTAAAGCACGCAAATCAATGCTGATGCTAAAACAACTGCAGCCAAATGGATATTTTTACATTTTAATTTGGTTATGAGTACAAAACAATGCCCGACACAAACTCAGTTGAAAACAACAAGGGTTGGAAGCTATATAGAATGGCGGTCTGTATTGTCGACTGTTTGACACGCACGTGTCCTTGCCAATGACAAGGGAAATTTTACAACTTTCAAGTTTAATTTGCCAAAAGTAGCAATCAACCAAGAGCCTGGATGCCTGGATGAGAAAAAGGGGGTGGTTGGCTGAGGAGGAGCAACCCTTTCGAGCTAATTGCTTGGAAGTTGTTAAATGTAAAAATTAAAATGTATAAAATGTGTATATTTTATATTAAATAGAGCAGGAACTTCACTGCCACTGTCAGTCACTCACTTTAACCCTCGTTCCCCGTTCGCTCGTTCGTTCGTTCACTCATTCACTCATTCAGTCATTCATTCATTTATTCAGCCAGAACGTAGCCGGTTTTATGAGGTGTTAAGTGGGCTTAAATTAAAAGTGGGCGTGGGCGGAATGTGACGAAATGTTTGCATATTTATTTAAGTTATGGCAAAAGGCGAAAAGAAGCAGCCACCCGGAGGAATAGGGGGTGGTGCCACCCCACTCATTTCCATTTGAAGAGGGCTGCAGACTTGACTTCTGTTTGTTTTCCGTTTGACATGAAGGGGCCACATGTGCGTGTTATAAATTTATATTTAATAAACTTTCGGATCTCCGAAGCTCAAGTGTGTATCAGAGGGAATAAGCGCCAGAGATTCCCAGTTTCCACAATGAGAGAAAAGGAACAAGGGCAAAGGGCAAAGGACAAGGACGAACACGACCAGGAAAGTGAAAACGAGGCAGTGATAAACAAATGGGTGCCAGCTTATAATGAACATATAATGTTTCATACAAGGGCTCTCAGGCGTCAGCAGGCGGTTCTCAAGTTCCAATTGCTCTCGACCTTTGTCATTTCCACATCCTGATATCTCATAAAGATAATCTCCTTTCTCCCATTCTCCGAGCACATTGCATTTTCTCACCGTCTGCACTTAGTTATGGGACTGCCCTTTAATTATATATTCACAAAAAAGACCGCTTTGTTTGCCTTGGACACACCCACAAACCCAAACTAAGACACCGTGTCACAGGACACGTGGCAGCATTTTAAGTAGCAACACCAAATTGCTTATTAAAATAATAACAAGGTCGGCCGGGGAAAAAAAAAGTGAACTCCAAATATGCAGTCAACCCTCGAAGCCTCGAAAAACTAACCCCAGCAATTACAGATGCGGAAACCAACCCTGATAATGAAGAACAGGCATCTTAAAGTTTTAAAGGCCCATAAAACTGCCTACTTTGATCATCAAATCAAGTTGTTAGCTCTGCGCCGTCCTTAATTTTCCCCACTCGTTTCCGCTTTTTTGTCTTTGGCTGCAGGACCCCAGAGAAAGGAACTATTACTGACCCGAGGGACAGGACTAAATGAAATCAAAATTAATACAATTTTCGGGTCGCTACGCTTAGTTTCCAGGACATAGCCTATACTTCCTCGGCCCCAGCCATATTGACAGCCACCGAGATCAAAGATGTGTTCACAACTTTTGCTTGCAAGGAATTTGCAATGGGGATCCTTAAGGATGAGGATGAGGATGAGTAGTGGGTAAATTGAGACATAGACATGGACCAATTTCGTTCATATATGAAGACCGGGCGGCAAGGCAGGGCGAATAAAATAAATGGCAATGAATGACTGAGCAAATGAATAAATGAGAGAAATTTTTGCTTTGAAATTCAAATTTCAAAAGTTGTCATGACATTGTGTTTATGACATTTAGTTGCAGAGGCCAGAACGAGATGACGAGCTGCAGAAATTGAGATAGAGGAGCGT